TTTCAGTTTTATAAGTTTGAAACCGAAAAATCCAAACAAAAAATATTGAGCTATAACCGAATTAAATTGAAAAACCGAATCAAACCAGTTTGAACCGATTTTTATCATAAAAAATCAAATTAAATCGAAACAATTTAGTTTTAACTGGTTTCGATTTAGTTTTAATTTTTTTAATAAAAATAAAATCACATCAAGAATAATATGCTTGATTATGACAATCTATTCTTTTCTAAAAATAAAAAACTCTGACCTCACTTTTCTTGGAGACCAGGAAGGAAGCTGGCGAAGGCCAGCAACATTTATTGTCTTCTTTTTTTTAAAAAAAAAGCTTTATTTTTTAATTTTTTTATTAAATTATTTGGTTTATTTTTGTTAATATTAATACATTTTGGATTGTTTATAAAATTTTATAATACTTTAAAAATATTATTTTATTTTCATTTATCTTTTAACTACACCTCAAATTATATTTACATGGTTAATTCACATGAAAAAAAATCATATATATCTAAAAACATATAAAACTATATTCACATAAAAGTTTGGGTGTACCAGCTAACATGAGGTAAAGGTGAGAAAAAACTTGAAAAACTAATTAAATAGTAAAAATTAACAAAAATTGAATAAACTAATTAAAAACCAAAAAAAAAATTATTTGAATTGGTTTTAATTTTAAAAGTTTGAAACTGATTAAATTAAATTAAAATAAATCAATTCAAATAATATTAAACCAAGTTGAAAACCAGATATAAATTAGTTTTCCTCTTACCCTAAAGCCTAAATCAAACCTAGATGCCCCCAATTTTCTCTCAATATTTTTCATCCTCATAAGCTTCTTGTCTGTCTCATTATCTTCTTTTCATCCTCCATCATCGTTACCAACATCTCTTTCCATCCTTCATCACTACCGCCGGTCTCTGTCTCTATTATAGATAACAAGAACTTTTCCCCTTCTTCTACTTGTTTCTTATCACTCGTGTTTGATCCGTTTGTCTGCATGGTTGATTTTATTTTTAAAGCAACCATAATAAAACAAATATTTGATAATATTTTCAAAAAAAATTATTGATAGGTCCATTATCAAATACAGCACAGCTATAGATTTATAAAAAGGAGCTTTTTGCTGCTTCTTGTGCTAGAAAACCCATGAATAGTAGAGCCAAGTTCTACTGTTGATAGGTTTTCTTGAATGAATAGTAGAGATTCACTGTTTATGTTTCATTATTCTAATCGGACTAGTTCGGTTCAAAGCTAATAATACATTGAACCGAGTCTGATTCAATAAAATAAAAAAAATATTTTTTTATTTTTAATTATATTTTATTCAAAAAAATAGTGTTAAATATTATTCAATGATACTATATAAATTAGATGGAGATCGCTTGAAGACGTAACATTTGTAAAATTTGATCTCAATTCCAATTTTGTTCCTGATTATATTTTACTTGATGTTGTTGCGTTCTTAAGAAATTTAATGGAGCAATAAAAAATATTATATATAAAGTAT